GGAACTATTTTTAATTAGGTCCAAGATGAGACTCTCCTATCCAAAGACAACCAAACTTGTTCCAAGCCGAGGCTTTGGTGTACAGAACAGAAAACGTTCCTGCTCATGCATCTCTGCTCTTACACCTTGTCATAAAACACAGCTGGTGATGTGTGACTTGGATTTGCACTGAGATTCCCTGTCCTGCACCAGATGCAGCATCAGGGGCAAGGCATGGGCAGAAGGTGCCTGCTGGGGTGATGAGCAGCACATGGGAACGGCCCTGCTCTTAGCCTCTGGCTCTTCATTAAGCCAAGATGCCGGGAGAGCACACACTAACGAGCATGTGTTTCCTTTCAGTATGACCATCTGGACGCAGACTGGCTGGGCATGCCCCCCCTGCCCTCCCCTCGCTGCCTCTTTGGCCTGGGAGAGGCAGAAAACTCCATTTTTGTGGTCGGAGGGAAAGAACTGAAGGAGGGAGAGAAGACCTTGGATTCGGTCCTGTGCTACGACCGGCTGTAAGTGTCCACGTGTGAGCGAGGGGCAGGAGGTGGCTGGCAGGAGAAGGTGAGGCAGCTGCCGTGCAAAATGACCCCAGTTCTTCAGGGACCGGGTTTAGAGACAGGGCTTGATCTCTGCACCTCGATGCTGGGACCACGGGGAGCGATTTGAGATGAACCTTGGGGCTCTGAGCTGCCCCTCTCCAGCTGCTTCGTTTGTTCTAATTGAACAAATTTGTTTGTTCTAATTGGTGGGAGCCATACCTGGGATATTAAATTATCAAGGACTGGACTTAGCAGATGCTCACGTGGGACCCGCATGGAGGAGCGAGGGGAGTTTTTTCCTTCTGTTCTTGCCCTTTGGTTAGAGTTTTGGTGACCTTCACTGTGGTTTCACAGGGAGTAGTTTTGTACAGGAAAGCTTGTTTTGAAACTATTCAGACGTGGCACTGAATGGCCCACCCTGATTGATATCAGGCTTAATATATGATTATTTTTGCACAATGGGCTCTGAACCATGTTATGTCATGAGCTATATTAAAACTGACCGTCCTGTTCTGCTCGCAGGAGGCAGAAATATCCAAAGAGTTCTCCTCTCTGCCCTAAAGAAGCACAGTGCTAGGTGTTAACAAGCCTTTGGTCAGCTTATATTTAGATTTGTGTGCTCCAAAATCTGTTTTATAGGCAGAGATTTGAAACCAGTTTCATTTCCCAACAGTAGGGTATTTATTGCCCCTCTGGGACATATCGCCTGTCCCCTTGCTACTCGCTCGGGGGTGGCTTAAATATTGGCTGGAGGCTGGCAGAGAGATGATCAGCACCACTCCTATTTCTGGTGTTACTTAGGTAAAAAATTTAATGGTAACAAACCTGGAGAGGAAAAGTTGCTGGTTTATAATAGCAACTATTTGCCCAGAGTGGTTGGGCAATTAGGAAGCACTCAGAGTCCTGGTGTCTCCATTCTTAGGTAAAATAAAGTGCCATATTTTGAGGGGTTCATCCTACATGGATGAAAATTGGGGATGACTCTAAGCAACGTGGATATCAACAGCCACATCTTGAGAAATTGGTCAGCCCTATTTGTCCCTGCTGAACATAGCTGTCTATGTGTAATTGATGATGGGCCTTCCCTTGGGTCCAGATCACCACAAAAGCCCCCAAATTTTAGTTGTTTCCATTTTGGGCTGCTGCTACCCAACGTAAACAACAAGGATGTAAAAATAAAGGCTTTAGGTGTGCCAAAGCCCTGCCTAAGGACAGAGCTGGAGGGTCTGCCATGGAAAAGCAGCGGGTATCCTAGCAGAGGCACTGCTTTGGGGTTTCCAAATCTTTTAGCTACATCCTCAGCTCAGCTGCCCTGGAGCTAGCTCAGAGGCTTCAGCACAACCCCACGCTCCAAAATGTGGATGCAACCACCTTGGTGGCTGCTGGCAAACCAAAACACTTTAAAATCAAAGGTCATGGTAAAAAAAAAAAAAAAAAAAAAAAAAAAAAAAAAAAAAAAAAAAAAGAGAGAGAGAAATTTGTCCTCAGAATATTGCATGCTTAAGTCTCTTGGATTTTTATTTTTTACATAATGCTGAAATCTCTGTCTCATCTGTATTTGGCTGGTAATGCTTGTAAATGATGTGAGGCCCTAGGAGAAGGCACTGTTTATGCACAAAGCCCAGAAGTAGAGGATGCTGCAGAAAAGGATGAGCATTAGCATAAGCATCTGGCATGTTTTATGTTTGATCTTCCTTTTTTTTTTTTTAGGATGACAAAATTTACTGGTTCAGCATTATCTCATTGGAAGACTCCTATTTTTAAGACACTTTGTTTTCCATTAGTCAGGATCTGCATTCACCTCCAGGTCTGGAAAGCGCCCTGTGCTCTGGGCCTCACCCAACAAGCTACAAATCCTCTTGCCTCCCATCTTTCCCTGATCCAGGTCCTTCAAGTGGGGTGAAGCCGATTCCCTCCCCTACGCGGTCTACGGCCACGCAGTGGTGTCGCACAAGGACCTCGTCTACGTCATTGGTGGCAAAGGAAGCGACAAGTAAGTCAAAAACCAAGAGAAACCCCCCAAAACATCCCCCAAACCAGAGGGAGGGCAGAGCATGAGTCAGTACCTCCTGCAGTGCCAAGCAGGTGAGTGAGCGAGCCTCCTCTCTCTCCTCTTTCTCTAGGAAGTGCCTGAAGAACATGTGTGTCTACAACCCCAACAAGTTTGAGTGGAAGGAGCTGGCTCCCATGAAAACTGCCCGCTCGCTGTTCGGAGCCACAGTGCACAAAGACAAAATCTACGTGGCGGCTGGTGTGACCGACTCCGGCTTGACCAACTCGGTGGAAGTGTACGACATCGCCACCAACAAGTATGTACCTGAACACACCTTCAGGGCCTAGTTACCAACTGTAGGTGTACATTGAGCAGCTTCCAACCCTTCAGGAGTTTGTTTGCAACTCCTGATCCCAGTTTCTCCCAGTCTGTATTTTTCAGACCACTGGGAATCAGTGAGACCATTGCGGTTGGGCTGTGGATCACACCAGGCTCACACTCAAAGTGGTTTCATCAACTGGTCAACTTCTTAGGTACTTTGCAGGGCTGTAGCTTCATCTTGTCATCTTTGTCCTATGCAAGAGATGTGTTTCCTGACTTGGGGTGGGTGTTGTGGCCGCATCCAGCCCCTGGAACCTGCTGGTCCATGCTGGGTGAGCACCACAGCTCAGCTACTCACAGTAAAATGAAGTTGAGCTATGATGATGGAAACACCTCCCTAGCACCAGGCAGTGTATGATCCCATCCCGTGTAAACCTACACAAGTTAATCTGCCGCTAGTTAACTCTGTTGATGATGATGACGGGGGTTGGCAGGGTGCCCTAATGTGTCCCCTCTTGACACGGCAGGTGGGACACCTTCACCGAGTTCCCGCAGGAGCGCAGCTCCGTCAGCCTGGTGAGCCTGGCTGGGGTGCTCTACCTGCTCGGGGGTTTTGCCACGGTGGAGACGGAGTCGGGAGAGCTGGTGCCAACGGAGCTGAACGATGTTTGGAGGTGATGACCTTCCCTGGGGCTCTCCGTGGTGGTATAGGAGATGGGGGGGATGTTACTCAGCAAAAGCCACCGAGGGAACGGATAGTTTCTGTCTTTCTTGATGCCTTCAGCATGTTGGTGTTGCCTCAGCACAAGGCTGAAGGCTCAGCATGGGGGCTCTGGGTGAGGTGTTTGCCCTGTGCTGTGCTGGAGGGCACGTTAGGCAATTCAGTGATTTCTCCCAGCCTCGTACAGCAACACACCAGGCAAAATCTGCTCCTTCAGCTTTTTCCTGAACTGACATTTTGTTTGGAGCTGGTTCCAGACCTCCTCTCTGGCTCGAAGCCGTGTTTGTGCAATGAGCGCTCTCCCCGGGAAGAGCCAGTGCTCAGGATGGAAATGAGATTGTCTTACGTGGGAGCAGAGAAGCAGTCAGAAAACACTTTCTGACAGCTGCTAATGCAGGGCTAGCTCCTGTCCTTCGGCTCTGTGGCTCTAGAGCACCCTCAGCAGGCATCTCCTGGCCTTCACCAGAGATGTTCAATCTTGACATCAAGCATCAAGCCATTTCCAGTGGAAGTGGTGTCTCCTGCGAGACCATGAGCTGATATCTGCACATCCTAGCCTGTTGAACCAAAGCATATCAGGGCTGAAAGTCCCCATGGTACCCCCACAGTGACCAAAAAACCTCCATGGGACACCACACCGCATCCTGGGCCTCCCAGCACTATGGAGAGCAGCTGAAGTGGGGAGGGAAGATGCTTTCCTCACCACAACTCTCCCTCTGTCTCTCCCCAGATACGACGAAGAGCAGAAGAAGTGGGAAGGGGTCCTCCGGGAGATCCAGTACGCCTCTGGTGCCACCTTCCTTCCCGTGCGCCTCAACGTTTTGCGGCTAACGAAGATGTAGTGGGGCAGGATTTACTTCTTCCATTGGGGTCTGGGACAAGGAGGGACGGGGGGAGGTGAGGCCATGCATAGCAGTGTAGAGACATGGCAGGTCTCTCTAGATACCGTGCAGGACATTGCATCTGTGATTGGTACCATTTTACTTCATCAAATGGGAAAGCTCACCTTGGAGGGGAAAAGGAAGAGGCGAAGGCTAGTGGTACAGGTCACACCTGGGGGGACTTGGATGAGTTCCCAAGTGATGCAGGTTTTTGGGATGAGACAGTTGAAAAAAGGCATGTGAGCATGGGCAGCAGAAATCTGTAGGACATTGCAATGAAAAGAAAAAAGTTTTGGTTCTTCATCTCCATCCTGACTTTGGACTGAAGAGATGTAAAGAGCTAAAGACTGCAGGAGGGGGAGAGTCATGCTAAGAGTAAGGTAGGGAAGGGAAGAGAGACAGGCAGGGAGGGCCGTGAGCACTCATCTCCATCCTTTTGGGCTCCCCATCTTCAATCACAGATCACATTGTCCTGACCTACGGTTGGACAAATGCTGTTTTTCAGGGAAAGGTTTTTTTTTTTATTTATGCTGTCTTTCATTTTTATTGTTCTGAACTTTTTTTTTTTTAAACACTATTCTAATTTGCAGAATTCTTGGAGATCTCAGCCGTGTTTGGCTCAAAGAGAGCTTCCTACTGAGAAAAAAATGCATTGTGTTTTTTCTTTTTTTAAGTTATCATAATGATGTTTTGATAGAAACATGACTGTACTGGCAGCAGGACAAAGATCTGTTAGAGCAAAAATCTAATGATGTCCATGCTGCCTGACCAGTGGTTTATTTAAAAATAAATCTTTAAAATGTTTCAAAAGAAATTCCCTTTGTCTGCATGCTTATAGAGCCGTAACTGAATGTCCACAGCAACTAAACACAAGGACCAAGCAAAAGCTGTGCTGAACACATACAGCAAACCAGCCCAATGGAGAGCCCTAGCAGAGACCCAGATTTTATTCTTATTTTCTTGCATTTCAGAGCTGAAACTTAATGCTCATATCCTTAAAGCTTTTCCCTGTAGATATGAGGACTAGAGGCTTACCTAGGGAAAGGAAGAGGAAAGCCAGCTGGATGCTTACACGCCATCATGATGCAGTGAACGGGGGTGACAATAAAAAAACAATAAATACAAACCTTGTAAACGCCCTGAAAGTGGCATGAAAATTACAGTATCAAAAGTCTGTCTGATTTGTCTATCTCAAAATGAAGTCTCAGAGAAACTAAAACATGTTTGGAAGAAAAGACAATTTTGCATGGGTAAAGGAACCAGAGCCGTGTCAAAAGAATCTCGAAAGATTCTTTCCTGGGGGAAATGTGGGCCCTTTGAAGTCAAGGGGAGCACTGCTTTGTCTTGATAAGTTGCTGTGGTGTGGTCCCTCAATAACAGCTCGAGAAGTGGTGATTAAGCCAGGTCCACATCCTCAGTCCTCTCCCCTTGCAGCTGTCCGCTGGGGATATGGTTAACGGGAGGTGAGCGCTCGTGTGCAGTTCACATCCATTATGAAGCCCTGAGAGACGCCACCGCTGGCACGGGGCAAGAAAAGATGAAAGAAAAAAAGGCAATTTTATAAAAGAAGAGCTTGAAATATCCCATCGCTTGAGCAACGAGGGCCAGCTCTCAGAGTCTGCAAGCCAGAGCTGGCCCAAGGAAGGCAGAAGATTTGCACAACGCCAAGCAAAAGTCTGGCCCAGGGAGGTTCACCACCTCCTCGCCAAGAGGCTGCTTCAGTTCAAAGGAAATCGTAAGGAAGAAACGCCAGCAGGAACACCCAGGGAGGCATCATTCCTTGCTGCTGCCCCATGGTTTCCTGGCTGAGGTGCACACAGCTCCATCAGCACAGGTCCCCCTGGGTATCTTCTCCAGGCAATGCTAGCTGTAGAGGAGCAGGTACATCCCATGGGTGCAGCAAAATCATCTCGTCTTCCATTAGCTTCCCAATATCAGCGCTGACATCAGCTGGCGAGGTTCCCACAGCTCCATTTCCAATCAATGAAGGTGCTGCGTGCCTTTGGATGGGTTCTTCGCTTTCTCCACTGCCTGCAGAGGTGCTCAGGAAGCCTCATCTCTTAGTTCACCCAAAGATTGTGCAGCCAGTAGGACCCAGGAGCTCAGTCCTCACCCCTCCTAACACCCCCGGGGCTGCAAGCATCGAGCTGTTTCCTCCACCCACCTATCACCCTTCCCTGAAAAGCTACTTTTTGTTGGTCCACAACAGTCCAGTTGCCTCACTCAGACTGTTCAGACACCTCCCACCAAACCCAACGCGACATCCACGCGTGTGAGGCACCAGCAGAAGCGAGACCCTGCCCTAGGAACGAAGAAAGCGGCGGAGCTTGAGGCTTTCTTTTATAAAAGACAAATCGTTTATTGATTCAGTCCTTCCACTTTGCAACCTCTTTGGTAACAGGCATAACACTTCCAGACTGGGAGAACGCGGTGGAAAGGCCCGGTTCTGTCCTCTCACCACTTCCAGAGCTCAGCGACCCCTGAACGTGCCTTGGTGAGAGGCCAAAAGCAGGTTTCAAAGCACGGCCAAGGACCTGGCCTCTAGGGACACCCCAGAACAGCCCGCAGTGGCTTGTCTTGCTCGCCGGTGGCCCAGAGAGCAGCTCCAGCACCCCCAGGCAGAAGATGGCTCGGGATGGGGCCGCGGTGCCAAGGCTGGCTGTGAGCTGTGCCCTGGAAGGCAGCTTTGAAGCACCTCTTGGGACCTCCCGGACAATCAACGGGGCCAAGACCACAGCAAGAGTCACCCATTCTTGCAGCAGGCGATGCCTTGCCCCGGTGGCCCCATGACGATGAGCTAAACCGGCAGCCTCAGCCTCCCCCTCCTCACACCGTCCCAAAGAGAGTAACTGCTGTACTTGGCGTTAAAGATAAACATATATTGATTACACATGGTCATAAAAAAAAAAAAAAAAGTAATAATAATAATAATAATACATTTCCTAGAACATTACTTAAGACGCTTCCGAAAAGCATCCACGCTTCCCCTCCCCTCCCCGTCTTCCCTTATCTATACAGAATAAAGTGCTTCGTTTAGGTTGTTCACACTAGTAGAGCCACCGATACACTCTTTAACTTGGCATGTTTGGGCAACCGGTACTGAATGCCGCAAAATAATACAGAGCCGAACACCAGGCATGAGAAACTAGTTTTGAGGCAAGTGCTTGGGGTTTCGTTCGCTTCCTTCAAGTTCCGTGCTACCGAGGTTGTTCTTATTTTTTATTTTTTTTGTTCCTGTTTTTCAACAATTTTCTTCCTTTGTGAGTTCGACCCAACTCCGTCGTGGTTGCGTGTCATTAAGCGGGGCTGCGTGCGGGGAAGCTCTCTCCGTCCGTGTGAACCAAGGGCGTCTGTCCATCTGTCCTTCCCTCTTGACTTCAGGCGAACCAAGAGTTTAATCAGTGGAGTTGTCTAGCAGCGGATGCTCGTCTCTATTGCACTGTCACAGCCGTTCCCTCCCACCGTCCGTCCACCCGTCACCTTCCCACCGCGCTTGGGTTATGGCTGTGGTCCGAAGGGCCAGCCGTACCTCATGGGCATTATGAGGCTAACTGGTCTGTGCTACCAGGCTCCTGGGATATAGAAAAACAAAAACAACCCTCCCTGCGTGGCTCCCTCCCTCCCCAGAGTTCAAAGCAAAGGGAAAAGAAAACCCAAAACGCCGCCAGGTCCGTTGCCTTGCGGTCTGCTCGCGGGTAGGCGCGATGGAAACCAAGCCCCTCTCCACCCTCACGGTCTGTCGAAGAAGGGATGTGAGAGATTAAGGTGCAAGAGTTAAAAAATAATAATAATAATAAAATAAAATATAAAAAGCTTGAAAACAACGGACCCAACTCCTCCGCCCCGTCTAACCCAACGGGGGCCGACGGGGGCCGACCGGGGTGGATGTGGGACGAGGCGCCATGGGAGCGACTCGTTTGAGCTCTTAGTATGTTAATGAAAACCAGACACGACGAGACACATCGGGACTGAGTCAGGGCGTAGACAAAAGGGCTCGGAGGCTGTGTAGGACTCCTGGGAGCTGCCCAGGCCTCGGAGAGGGGAGGGAGCAGCAGGGATCTGGTTCTCCAAAGTGCTGTGTGCATGGTCACATCTCGACATCTCCAAGCGGCTCTCCGGGCAGGCTCTCGAAGGGGACTGGAGGTGGTTGAGAGCAGTTGTTGGGTTTTCCATGGACCAAGAAGTTTTTTGAGGGCCAACTCTTCCCACCTGAGCCCAACGCGGCTTCATCAGCCTCGAGGAGGAGCTGTCATCTCCTGGTGACATCTGAGCGGGACAGGTCCTCGCTGGGAGAGGAGGAGCTGGGGCAGGGATGGGGAAAGCCACCTCCAGGTGAGCGGTACGAGGGTGCATGCGTTGGTGTAGGGATTTACTTGGGGGGAGAAGTCTGCCAGGCAGGCAGGCTGATGGGCTCCATCACAGAAGACCATACAGGCAAGGTGAAGTCTCCTTGGGGTGCGAGCTTCCGTCCTGTCTCAATGCTGAGTGCAAGGGGAAAGAAACCCAAGGGAGCCCAAGGGGAAGGGGTCTGGAAGGCAGAGAAGGAGGAGACAGCATGGACCACTCTACTGAGGCCCTCCAACATCTCCAAGGGTATCACTGAAAGTGCCTCCAAAGCAATTACTTTCCAGGCTGGGTCATGGTCCCTTCAAAAAGCCAATGGCCCCAAGAACCGAGAGCCCGTGTCCCTCACAGGTGGGAGCTGGAGAAGGGAGCTGGAGAAGGGGAGAGCGGGCTCTCCCCTGTCCCAGTGAGGCTGCTGCCCCTGCACAACCCCATCCAGCAGAGCTCCTGAGCACGTGGATGAGCCCTCCTGGCTACACGGGGGCAGGTTTAGAAGTGCCCAAGCGCTTTGCTGGCTTGGTCCAGGAGACGAAGCGCAAAAACTTTGCGCAGAGCCAGGCGTGGATCACCCTCCCCAGCACCCCAACACTGCCCAGACCGAGGTGTGAATGAGAAAGGGCTCCTGCAGTGTCCTCTCTCCCACCTCAACCACCATCAGACCTCCTCAGCACCTCCTCCACGACCTGACCACATCCACACACATCTGCTGGCCTGGGCAGCTGCAATGAGCCCCACTTCTTGCCTGGCACCTCTCTGCCCGGGCTGGGGGCTCTGCGGTGCTCCCAGCTCACCCCGACCCAGACCAGGGGCATTTTCCTGGGCAGAGAGACAATGAAGACATGGTCAGATCAACGTGTGACACCCCAAGGTAAATCACAGCAGCAAGAGACCCACCTTGGACCCCCGACGTCCGACAAAAAAAAAAAAAAAAAAAAGACAAAAAAAGAAAACAGCAAAACCTCCCCGGCTTTGCCGCTCCCCACCACGATTCCTCTTCTCCCCTGCTGGCACAAAGCCAGGCTGAAAAAGTGAAATCCAAGACCAGCTCAACTTCAACATCATTCAGCTCACTGGGAGAGGAACACGCAAGGACAAGGTGGCCGGAAAGGTGCTAACCCACACCGTGGGGCATCACCGAGCTGACTGCAGCCCTTTTTGGGACAACACGGGCACATTGGGGTCCCCTCGAGGGGCTGCCAACCCTACGGGGATGGGAAGCTTGGTAGAGCAACGTGGGCTTTCCTGGCATGGCAAGAAGTTGGAGGACGGGACGTCAACGGGCTGACCAGGGTCTAATCCTTGGGATGAGACCCAGCAGCTCCCAGCCTGGAGCTCCCCCATGGGTCAGGGGTTTATTCGAATTGTTAAGGCACTATTCTGGGCTGATTCTGCCGAGAACGGGCTGCGTCCCGCTCCTCCATCCCGGAGCCACCCTCCCACCGGTCCCGAGGCCATCTGAGCTCCTCCAAAGCCACCCTGCAAACTCCAGAGCATCCCCAGCAAGCCGGCTCTCACTGGGACCAGAAGAAAAACCCCCAAAACCCCCAAAACCAAAGGGGCAGCTGGCTGCTGATGCCCCAGGACACAGCACCGGTGTTTGTGCTTTTGCCTATCGGGGAGGAAAACCTGTGTCGGGGCAGGAAGACAAGGCGAGGGCTGCTGATGGCTCTCCAACGGGGACATCTACTCGCCAAAGGCCACCAGGGCCAGCGGGAAGCTCTTGCACGGTGCCCACCTCAACTCTCGGGGAAAGGGCCTAATTAAAGACCAGCTTTACAGTACAGGGATTCAAGCACCACTAGCTAGATTTCTGCTTATAAATACGGAAGTGCTGGCACCCAGGATGGCGCAGCATCGTGTCCCTCCGTGCCCCACAGCCCTCTTGGCATGGAGATGAAGCCGATGCGTGGGGAAAGGGCAAGCCAGGGAGGGTCGGGACGAGCAGCCCAGCTGGGGACGGAGCCAATGGAACCTGCACGTTGGCATCTGTCCCCTCGCTGGGTTGAATCACCATCTCCTGGTGGGAAAAATCCCTTTGGGAGAGGCTTCCCTTCCCTGTTTTCCCAACAACGGGGATTGCTGGTGGAAGACTGCACGGGGGCTGACGGCTGGGACAAAACGGAGAGCGATGCCTTTTATCTGCACCTTTACGGACGGTTCCCCCCACCCCCAGCATCCACGCTCCTCAGGGGCTTCCCCCAGCTCCCCCTCTCCACAAAAATAAAAATAAAATAAAAAAAAAAAAAGACTTTACGGGCAAGAAAATGAAAACAAAACAAAATAAAATAAAATAAAATAAAACCCACCAAAACAACCCCAAAATGAGGAGGAAGGGGGGTAGAGAGCAAGCAAAGCCACGGCTCCCCGGGCATTTCCGAAGGGCAGAGCAGTCTGTGCGGGGCGTTTGGGGGCACCTAGTTGTTATTGGAATTTATCCTCCCCGCGGGGAAGAGGGGAGGCGGGGGCGGTAGGTGAGGAGGAGGAGGGAGGCTCTGTGGGAGGGGATGAAGCAGCGGCAGCGGGGAGACGCCGGGGCCGGGGGGCAGCGGGGCCGGGCTGGCGGCGGGCTGGGGGGCGGCCGTGTCCGAAGCCAGGGGGTTGCTGACGCGGAAACATTTCTCCTTGTGGGCTTTGAGCATGTTGGAGAAGCGGAAGCGCTGGCCGCAGACGTCGCAGGGGTAGGGCTTCTCGCCCGTGTGGGTCCGACGGTGCCGCTTCATGTTGGGGCGGCTGGTGAAGCTCTTCCCGCAGATCTCGCAGATGTAGGGCTTCTCACCTGCGTTGGGAGGGGGTGTACGGGTTGAGAAAGAGGCGATCATCCAACCCCACCCGCGCCATCCACACCCCATCACCACCCCATCCCACAAGCCAGGAGCTCTCTCTCACCCGTGTGCGTCTTCATGTGCTCGTCGAAGTACTGCTTCATGTTGAAGTCCTTGCCGCACCACTGGCACATGAACTGCTTGTGCCCGATGTGGATGCTCATGTGGGAGCGCAGCTGGTACTTGTACTGGAAGCGCTCGTTGCAGTTCTGCAGGGCGAGGATGAGCAGACGATGAGCACCTCAAACACCCCCGTGTCCCGTCCCACCTCTGCCCAATCACCAGCGTGTGGGAGCGGCACAAAAATCATTTTTTTTCCCCCTAAAATAATTCAAAAAAATGTCTTCCCAGGGAAAGGACCTTACCTCGCATTTGAAAGGCTTCTCCCCCGAGTGCTGCAGCGAATGGACCTTGAGGGACATGCTGCGCTTGAAGGACTTCCCGCAGGTCTCACAGGTGAAGGGCATGTCCTTGGTGTGAGCTGGAGCAGAGGCGAGCAGCGTCATGCACCCACCCTGCACATCCACCTCCAACAGTCCCAAGATCCCCAAATCCCACAATCACCCAACCATGGTGAACCCAAAAACATCTTGAGAAGATGCACGGCAGCACCGTGCCACCCGTGAGCACATCCTGGGGCTCACCAACAGCACCCTGTCCTCCAGAGTTCTCCTTAAAACAACCCAGTGTGGGACACCCCCCTCACTGCCTGCAAAAAAATCCCTTTTTTGGTCCTTTTTGGTGCTTGGAGCAGCAGCCAGCCTGAGGGACGCGACCGCCACTGCCATGTGCAGTTTGCTTTTCAAAGCCCAGCACTGGCGCAGGCTCATCCTCTTTTACAAGGGAAGGATGGTTACATTTCAAACCCTCCTTTGATCACTTCTGAGGTCTTATTTTTTTCTGGTTAAATGAAATAAATGAGATTCCCCGGTGCCATGCCTGCTCTGCAGCAGAGAACTGCTCCAAAAACAAGCTGAACAGAGCAGGCACGCGCTCAGCATTAACCACTTGGCACCGCAGAATAAAAAAGGGCAAATCTCAATGCCTCAGTTTGCCGTTAGAAAGCTCACCAAGAGTTAACCCAACCCCAAATTCCCAACACGGCAGAAATAGAACAACACCCTTCATCATGGGAACGCCAGACGAGAACCCTAAGGAGACTTCTTGTGGCCCCACTGCCTCCTGCACTCACCAACCATGTGTTTGCGCACGTGGGCCATGGTGTAGAACTTCTTCTCGCAGATCTCGCAGGAGAACTTCTTCTCGGCGTAGCCGTGGACGATCTTGTTGTGCTCGTGGAGCGACCAGAGCTTCTTGAAGCCCTTCCCGCACGTCACGCACTGCAACGAGAGAGGGGCTAGGCAGGGAGGCAGGGGAACGTCCCGAGGCATGGCCACATTTGGGGTTTTGCTTCCTTGAAAGACAACGTCATCAACAAAACCTGCAGCCAACATAACACCAAGTCTGCTCCAGACCTTGTTGCTTCAAAACCTCCAAAACTCAAATTTCTGTCCATCGGATGGGGAAGAGGGTGATGGCTTTCCAAGGGAGGCAATGGGTAGAAAATTCTCACATACCCATTGCCTCCTGCATCAGGGGCTCATTCCCAGCTGGGGCTTTCCTGCTTGCACATAATGAAGACCTTATATCCAAAAAAAACCCCTCAATCTCAGCATTAGGAGGCTGCAAGGAATATGGGGAAAAAAGAGAGGCCCAAGCTAGGGCAGCATGACTTCAGTCCTTGGCAGGTGTTCTGGATACTTTAGCACGAAATGAGTTCTCTGAAAATCCCCCAAATTCTATTAATATCCATAAATTCTGGAAACATCCATTAATCCCCACAACTCCATTAATACCCATTAACTCAGATAACAGTCATTAATGGACCAAAGCAGACCCCAAAACTGGGACCAAAGCAGACCCCAAAACCCGTTCACTTGCACAACACAACGCCACGCCGTGACATTTTTAAGCACGTGCAAGTCTCCCCCTGGAAGTTACAGTAGAGATTCCTTCCTGCTCCACCAAGTTTGATGTTTCTCAGAAAACAGCCAGAAAAAGCTGTAACCTTGGCTGCCATGACTTGTTTTTTCACCTCTGGCCCGGGCTTTTCACCATGTGCCCATGGCTACCACACGAGCTCAGCTCACATCGCCGTACGAGGGAGGGCTGGGAATTGCCTAAATCAGGGCAAAACTGTTTACTGAGCCCCAACGCACATGGATACTCATCCTCCTCTTGTCCAACCAGGACCAGAGCCTCTTCAGCTCGCCGGTGTGTTGAGAAAAATAATTAATTGATGCCTAGGAGGCATCTGGCAACAGCACAGCCAAGCAAACCCCTAGGGATTCACAGCGGGGCCTGAAGAAGCGCAGATAACGCGGCCTCGACCTCCTCCTCCCACCCCAAGGAGCTCATTGATGGGCTTCATCCAAATTTTGCACTGAATGAGGCTGCAGTACCGTGGAAAATATACTGTTATGTCATGTAGTCACAGTGTCTCTATTTATATTTAGGTGCCTGGGAGGCACGACGAGGGTCACGGAGGCATTCCCAGCGCTCGCCTTCCTTCGTCTTGGCAGGCCCGAATTGCAGCACGAGCAGTCCTCTGAGCTTTGCCGTTTCTAAGTAAATATTTCTACAGATCGGAACAGTTTTATCTCTGCTCTAAGAGATGTTTCAGGACAACTTCCACATTCCTCCGCTTAAAAAGGAAAAGGCTGCAGGGAAATATTAAAATTAAAGAGAGAGAGAAAGCGGGAGATGAAGGGAAGCCCCCGGCTGCCACCGAGCTGCCTCGAGGGCAGAGCCCTGCACCCTCAGGCAAAAGACAAGGCAAATAAGATCAATTCTAGCAAGTTAAGAGGAAAACCACACTGGAGACGGCCAAAAGAGATTCAGAGAACCAACGCGACAAAGCGAAGGCTGAATCTTTTTTCAGGTGGCCGGAAAGCCGCTTACAGAGCCTGCAGGGCCACGGGTGACGATGGGAAACGTTCGCAGGGAGCAAAGCTCATGGGTGAGATTTGGGGACTAGTCAGCAAAAGAGAGCACCTGACACGAACGGAGTAAGAGGAAAAGTCCCTCCATGGATGTGGTTAAAAACAAGAAATAAAACCTGTCCCGTATAGGTATAGAGTTGAAAAAAAAAATCTCATTTCCATCCAGAAACGATTCCACGGTATATTAATAAAGTTATTCAATATTGTCGGAGTAAATTGAGTGAATTTGGCTTCTATTTATAACATTTAAAACGCCTCGCTAAGTGAAAGGTAATGAGCCAAGCTTTGCACAGAGGGAAGTCACCACAGGGGCAGCCGCGGTTCACCCTATTCTGAAATGACCTGGAAAGGGGATAAAAAGAGGAGAGGAGAAAAAAAAGCAATGAGGTGGAGGATGATAGCCCCATATCAACCAGCACGAAAGCAGAAGAGCACGAAGCAATGCTCTGGGAAAACCCACTCTGAATTGCTTTACAACAGGCTCCAAACCAGCCACAACCCCACGGGCAGGGGGTGTTGGAGATGCTCTCACTGGTCCCGGGCCAGGGAATACAAACATATCCAAAAAAAAGCAGCCTCAGCCCGGTGAATTTATCAGAAAGATGCCCCAAGAGGCTTCATCACTCGTTTTATTTGGGATACAAGCCTTAATGGACTCTAGTAGCACCTGGGCTGTGTTCCCTTCACCTAGGAGGGCTGCCAGACCATTCAAAATCCCATCCTTTGATGGGAAGGATGACGTGCAAAGCCCTACAGAAGACACGATTTATTTTATCTGTAGCAGTGGCATTGTGCAAAACTGGTCACTGGGGATTAGAAGAGAAGTTGGAGGGCTCTGCAGGAATGTGTAATTTTGCTGCTCAACCAGGACAGCTATCTATTCCCCCAAAACTGATTTAACAGAGGCAATTTGCACATGCAGACGAAGATCCCGTTAGCTCTAGGTGAAGGGCACGCCGTGCCCGAGCCACGCGCGGATGTCAAGTGGGTTCAGAAATTTCCTAATACGCGAGCTAACGAGCACAAAAGGCAGATTACAACCACTTCAGCTCGTGTCAGCAGTTCTTTGAATTAAGCTAAATTGCTTTAAGCCTGGGTGGAACCGGCTGGAGTGCTTCTCCATTAGGGGCTCGCAACGTTTTATGCAGATTAACTGAATAAACCCAACAAAAAATGACTCCCCTGAAGTTACTCCCCATTTCCACCCAGCTGGCCAGGGAAAACCACGGTCCCCCAGCACTAATCCACCAGTCCCCTGCCACTGTGGGAAACCCCAAGCCTAAATATGAGTCATGGGAGTCATCAGCAAGGTCAAAAGTATTTCTGAGCAGGAGCCCTTCCCAGGGTGTAGACCCCGGGAACATGTTCTCCATGCTAGGTGGGATGTCCCATCATGGTGGGATGTCCCCCCCACAACGGGATGGTGCCGGGGTGGCTCACCTGGATGTTCTTCTCGCAGTCGGTCTGGTGGTGCAGCAGCAGCTCGCTCTCGAGGAGGAAGCGCTTGCCGCACTTGTCGCAGATCTGCATGCGGCTGTGCGTGACGTTCATGTGCTTCTCCAGGTACCAGCGGTTGTTGAAGACTCGGGGGCATTTCTTGCACGGGTAGTGCTGCTTCTCCTCCAGTTTCACCTTCTGGCCCAGCCCGTCCTGATCCTTCTTCCTCTTCCTCCCTCGCTGCCCTTCCTCTTCCTCCTCCTCCTCCTCTTCTGCCTTGGCCATCTCCTGCGACCTGGTGGCCATGGTGGATTTGGTGGCCTTGGATGCTCGGCTGCCCCTACGAGGCTGCCCGCTCTTTTCTCTTTTCACCTCCGATGCATCTTCGTCGTCATCTTCATCTTCCTCTTCTTCTGTCGTCTCCTCCAGGTCTTCCTCCTCACTGTGCTCCTCCTCTTCCTCCTCCCCCACCTCCGCGTCCTCCTCCTCTTCCTCCTCTTCCTCCCCTTCCTCGTTCTCCTCCTCCCCGTCCTCCTCCGTGTCACGCCCATCGTTGTCGGGCCGCCCCATCACGGCCGCCTCGCTGGCGGCCGCCTTCCCCTCCATCCCCTTGGAGACGTTGAGGGTCTGGTTGTTGAGGTTCACCTCCACGATGATCTGCTCCCGGTTGTAGGAGCCCTGGCTGTCCAGGTCCTCCTCGGATTCCTCCCCCTCCATCTTACACACGGCTCCGGGGCCGCCGTCCTTCTCCTCCTTGTAGTACTGCTTGGCCGGCCCCGCGGGGAGCGTCCCACCGCCCGCCCCGTCCTCCACCCGCACCGAGTAGGGGTCGTTGCCTTCCCGGGCGTAGATTTTGGGGTGGGGGGCGTCCACCTCCTGTTTGATCTCGCAGTAGTAGGGCGGGGCGCCGGCGCAGCCCTCGGCGGGCAGGGCCATGTCGGCGGCCAGGCTGAGGGAGCGCGTGTCGAGGAGGTCCTGGCAGGAGGAGGCGATGTTATTCATCTGCAGCACGGCGGCTGCGTTCAGCACGTCCTGCACATTGCAGGAGTTGACGAGGAGTTTGGAGGTGTAGATGAAGTTGAGGATCTGCTGGAGGCCCTGGGAGGTGAGGGCCTCCAGCGAAAGCTCCACGCGCTGCAGCTGCTTGTTTTGGGTGAAGAGGGAGTGGAAGAACTGGCTGTAGGCCGCCAGGACCCCCTTGTGCGCCGGGAAGATGCTCTTGTGCTGCACCAGCACGATGTCCACGTCGCACAGGTCCGGCTGAAAGAGGCGCTGCTCATTCAGTCTGTCCATCAAACACGTGAAGTGGAGGGCTACATCCTCCACCAGGGAGTACTCGGCCGAAGGGTAGTCAGTCGTCTTTTCGACTATCAGCTGTGGGGAGGAAGGAAATAAAAGCGTTCAGGAAGGCTCTTTCCTCTGGAAAAAAAGACCTGCCCGGCCACGCCACCCATCCCTGTCCACACATCCCAGGTCAGGGAGGCCAACTGAGAAGCTTCACCACCAGACTAAACTTGCATTCACCAACCATGAAGCTCCACCACCAGGCCCAGCTTGAAGATGCCAACCCAAACCCTCCCCTACCAGACTGCTTTTGGGGTCACCAACCAAGAAGCTCCACCACCAGGCCCAGCTTGAAGATGCCAACCCAAACCCTCCCCTACCAGACTGCTTTTGGGGTCACCAACCAAGAAGCTCCACCACCAGGCCCAGCTTGAAGATGTAAACCAAAAACCTTGGGAGTTACCACTCAAGAAGCCCCACCACCAGGCCCAACCACGCCGTTCCACCACCCATCGGAGTCCATTAGACTCAACCAAGGAGGACAAAACCCACTGCAAGGGCGGGCTGAAGCTACACAAGCCCTTGCCAAAAGCCCTTCAAGGTGGGCAGGAGGCACCCCGACCACCCCACCAGCATGTGGTGGTGGCCAAAGCCACTCAACCCTCCATGCCCATGGAGAGAAGATGCAGTACAGGAGAGGGGACACTTCCACACGTCCTCAACCTCCTGAATCAGATGGGGTTCCCCGGGGTGGATGTTCACCAACTTTAGGCGCTGGCTGAGATCTATCCCCCCTAGCTAGGAAGAAATTAGGACTTGAAACCTCTCCACTTCCACAACATAATTGCATGAAATCCCCCAAATGTGGCTTTTCTGCCCAGAAAGCAGCCGCTGGGCTGTACCTCCTCCTCCTCCTCTTTCTCCCATGAGGTCGGGACAGACACAGACGAACCCAGCGGCTCTTCCACCACCTCGCCCTACTCCACCCCGAGCAAAATCCTGGTCGAGCACGCCCCCCTTGAAAGAAATTACTGAATTCCACTACATGCTCTAGCTCACACTGGCAGTTAATTTAGCAGGACTCACCAGGATGACCCACACTTTTTTTTTCTATCCCTTTTTTGCCCATTTGTTCCTTTTAATTGCCCGGGGAAAGGCAGCACCTGGTAAAACTCAAGTCTGGGAGCTGCAGCCCCGAGCTGGGAGATGCTGCGAACACCACTGCTGGTGCTGCCTGGTATTTATTTCAACCCACAAACATTTTCCACAGCACAGACCCCCCAGGATCCTCATCCCCCATCCCACGGGGAACCCAGTTTTTCTTCCCCCTTGCTCCCTTCTTGCTTTCCGTGCCGAGCACCCAAGAGACCTCCACGGATGGATCTGGATGCAGCCACGTGGACGCGCCCGGTCCCACCGCAGGGATGCGGGGCGGTGATGGAGGCAGAGGGGCAGCTTCATCCTGCACCTCCAGCTCCATGGGACTTCCTCAGCTGACACTTTTCTTCTGGGACAAACGGCAGTTCTTGATCAACAGAAGGATTCCAGCAAGACGCACTTTGTTTGTCTTTTTTTTTTTTTTTTGTGAGCCAAAGGCAAAAGCGCACGACAAAAAAACTGCTCGAATAATAAAAAATGGGTGTTTTCTTTGTTTTCTCAACAAACAAACAACATCCCTCCTCCTCCCTGCTAAAATTTTTCATTTTCTCGGAATTTCTGCTCCGCAACCACCCAGCGGCTCCCCGGTCCCGGCGCGGGGCAGCCCCAGCAAGCGCTCGCACCCTGGGGAAAAGGAGGAAAAATGCAGCTCCGCAGCCTGGAGTGGGGCAAGGAGGTGGAAAAAGGAGGATTTGGGGGTGTATTGGGGACAAAATGCTGCATCCCAGCTGGAACAGCCAACCATCTGTCCCCCCATCCACTCGTCCGTCCCCGTTTTCCAACCCCCACGACACGCCGACGGGAGGAATTTGGATAGCCAAAAGATGATATAACAAAAATCACCACGAACGTCGAAGAAACAGCAAGCCCTCAACCGAGCTCCTCGCTGCTTGCCAGGGACTCTCCCGCCTTGATCTTGCTCCAAAAACCCCTAAATTCAGTTTTTTTTCCTCCAGCATCCACCACGCCGGGGTGCACCTTGCCTGGCTCCCGCCGCTGGATGCAGCGAGGCCGGCAAGAGGTGCGCGGGCGGAGAAACGGGGGCAATTCAGGGGAAATTGGGTCCCCTGGACGGCGTCACAGCCCAGCCTGGAAAACAAAAAGCTGGCTTTTCGCTCCGGATCGAGGCGTTTTTGGCAAAAAGGGGCTGACCCCTCACCCAGCGCCGGGTCCTGCCAGGCGGCTCTAATCAGTCCCAGCAGCGGCGAGGACAATGCGTGTCTTGGCCGCGTCCCGCCGGTGACTTCAGCCCGGGCCTGTCAGCGGGAGGGTTTTTGCTCTTTATTGCTCTCAGATGCTTTCGTGCTCTCGCCCGGAGCCGGCGCCCCAGCCAAGCCCCGAGCCGCGGCGTCGAGGCGCCCGCGGGGGTCACATCCCCGCCTCGTCCCCAAAAGTCCCCCCCCGGGGCCACGTTGGCACAAAGGGGGCGATCCTACAGCCCCTTCCCATGGGTTAATCACAAAAACGCGTGGATATTTCCATGAAAAAACCCGCTTTTGCCATCGCTGCCTTGGCTCGATGGTGGCTATAGGGCTTAGCCTCGCAAGAGGCCCAACGTGGTGCCACGTGGTGGGAGCGAGCCCCACGTTGCGTCCCCACCCCACTTCCCAATTTTGGGCACCCCCCCATCCCTTAGGACGCTCACACCCTCTTCCCAAACCCAACCAGGGCTACCACCAAACCACCCGGCGCTGCCACCGAGCCCCAAAGCCCCGTCAGGATTATTCGAAAGCGGCGTGGCCACGAAATCCCCACCCCGCCGGGCCAGCCGGCGCCTGCAGCCGGCCCCCCCGCACGGATGCTTCCCTCCGGCTCTATTTTAAGAGCATTTCCAACCATCCTTGCCAAAGCCCCGGCTGAAACAGCCCATGGGGAGGATGCCGGGGGCGAGCGGGGGGCCCTCCGCGCGCAGGCTTTATGATGGGAATGGATTTTTTTTTATTATTTTTATGATTTTTATATTTTTTTCTATGCGCACAAGCCCCCGTTTCCTTCCTTCCCCTTCAAAGCAATCTCGCTGCTGCCCCTTGGCTGGACACGGGAGCCAGGATGCGAGCAGGAGATAAGGGCGAGGTGGGAACCGCAGATGCTGATGCTCGCTGGACCGCGGGGAGCCAAAATTTGGCCACCACGAGGAAGCAAGGACCACAGAGGTCCTTATTATTTAAACACCCCCCTTGCACCCACACACCGCAGCACAAGAGGCGGCTGCGAGACTCCAATCCGGGAATTTCCTTCAGGTTTTTCAGCCCCCTGAAAATCCCCCAAACTCAGCTCTCCCGTGAAAACCTGCAGCCGGCTTTCGGGTATCGTTTACGCCCGCCGAAGCGTTTAACGTTGGCCTTAAGTACTAAATTGCACGAAGGGAAAGCGCTTTGATAAGGAGCTCGGGGCGCCGTTTATCCTTGCTCATCAAAAAATGAATCTATATCTAAAGGCCTGTCCTATTTTCAGTTTGGACAACGCTGCATTTTGGGGACGAAGGCGCTTTGCTGGATCCCTACGTAACGGCACGCTCAGACTTCTGCTCGAGGAAGGAAAAAAGCATTAAAACCAGATTTGTTTTCAGAATTAAATGACGCAAAGGCGCAGAGCTACAACGATGCTGACCCCAGTGCCAATGCTTTGGGGTCCGGTCCCTGAGATTTGCCCTCAAACTCCAGCACCCTGGGATGGGACCTGCAGCCTCTCCTTGTAGGTTTGAGGCCAGGTAATGTCAAACACGATGAGACAATCCTGACAACAATTTTGAGGACAAACAGCCGAAAAATAACAAGAAATACCACCAAAAACTCAAGAAACACCCCAAAAAGCCACAAAACATCCCCAAAATACCCAAGAAGCCACCAGATTTCAGACTGTGGCCACGAACGGAAACCCGGCGATGGGACAGGCTCTCCCCACCGCGCCGCTCCCTCGCCTGTCCCCTACCTCCAGCAGGGCTCCAGCTCCTCCCGGTGCCACTCCTGCCCAATTTTTGGGGGATAAAAAGGGGCAAAAAGCTGCCGGAGCGTCTCTCCCACTGCGTGCCCTCCCAGAGTAGGACCTCGCCGGGAGCCGCTGCGAGGGGGGGTTTAGGATTTCGCGAGGATGTCCGGAAAAACAAGCAGGAAGGGAAAACAATAGCTCGGCCGTGCTGCCGGCGGGCAGAGCCCCAGCAGCCGGCATCCCGCCTGCGGGGTGCTGTAGGGCCGGGAGGTGGGCACGGCCCCAAACCACCGACGGGGCTTCACACCACCATCCCCTTCCCTAGGTTGTGTTTTCCCTGAGATTTGAAGGATGCTGGGAACGGTGGAGATGCTCGAGGCCACCCCGAGTAGAGGCAGAGGTGTTTGTAGGGGTCGCTGGGCTCACCTACATCATCCTGGGTTTGGGTACAGGATGATTTTTGGCTGGGCGAGGATGCTCAGCACATCCAGACCCGTGGTGGAGCGATGTTCCCAGCGCCTGTCCCACCCTGGGGTGTCAGGCACCCCAAAAAACACCTCCATGTCCCCAAGGAGCCAACACAGAAATGCGTTAGCTCCCTTTGGGGACAGCCGGATGCTTTTGGGGACTCATTTTCCCCTCCCTTTCGTTGCTTTTCCCCCTCATGGCTTTGGTTCGAAGACGATTTCCAGGGAGCAGCCTGGAGGGCAGCGGGACGGGTCCTGGAGCAAGGGATCGGGGACGGATCCTTCCCCCAGCCCCGGGGCTGGGCCTCGCGCAGAGGCCGGGTTGAGGGGCCCCGGTGCAGGGGAGCCGGAGCTGCTGGTTAAGGGCTGGTTGCATTCGCACATTTTTATTAAAAAAAAAATAAAAAATAAAATAATTATATTTTTTTTTCAACCCTCCGGGCGTCCTTCTGCTTTTCTTTCGCGCACGGAGCTGCAAAGCCACAGAGATGCTTTGGGACAGAAAGACCATCGGCCCCCAAAAAAAACGGTGAAACCCAATCACGGGGGTGATGCCGGGGGGACCCCAAAAATGGGCAGAGATGTGGGGTCCCCCCCGCACCCGCTGCTTGCAAATCAGAGCCGAAATCATCTCGGTGCTGCGGAGGGGACCCCACGGCAGGGACATGCCCCATGCCACAAAGTGCAGAGGGGCTGGGGGGGATTAGGGGACCCCAAAGAGGAAGAGGAGGGTGTGGGGGACACACGGACACTCCAAGCTGCCTCCTGCCTCCCTCCCCAGCCCGAGAAAAACAAGCGGAGGGAAGATGAAGGGAGGAAACGAGGACAAACCCCAGCACTAACCTCCCCGGCCGGGCTGCCGGCCAAGCGGCTGCGCCAGGGGCCGGATCCAGCCGCTGCCCAGCCCCGGCGCGAGGTGCTGGCACGAGCGGGGCCGCGGCACGCAGCGCCCTGCACCGGGGTCACGGGGACGAGGAGCAAGCGAGCATCCCCCCTATGAAACCCCACAGATGTCCCCATGCATCCCAGCCCCCAGAATTGGAGAGGAGGATGAAGTCTCCCCAAAAATCAAGCACCACGCGGGCTCCGTGGAACGAAGGGCGGTGGGTGGCAATGTCACCCTGCCCGTGCCATAAGCTAGGGGTGCCACCGAGGTTCCCCGAGCCTCACAGGTGGGAGCTGAGGCCCGCAGGTGCCCCCATACCCCTTGACGCCTCTGAGGTTGGCCTCGCACCCTGATCGGCCCCGGCAGTTCTGGGATTTTGGCTCTCCCGCGGCGAAAAAACGCGGCGGCGCTCCCCGAGCCCGACTCCAGACCACAAAATTGCCGCCGTGGTTAAAGGTTGAGCGCAGCCCTTCCCAGAGCTCAGCCCCAAACCTGGCCTCAACAACCGGGCCTCCTCCGCTCCCTCCGTCCTCCCTGCCCGGCCGGGGAGGCCAGCAATGATGCGAGGCCCCCCCCGTGCACCCCAGCAGTGCCAATGCCTCCGGTTCTTCCCCGTGTCCAAACTTGGGATGAGGTGGTTGGAGCAGTGGGGACACGGGGACGAGGCCCCCACCTGTCCCCAGCTGGAGGATGGAAGGGAATGGGGTGGGGGACGCGCCCCAGCCTCACCAACGGGGCCTGGATCCTGCACCGGGTGGATGCTGAGCCCATCCTTTTTGTCCCCAAATTCATTGGTGCTCTCAGTGGGCTGCCCCCTGCTCTCCAGCCTCTACCCCAGCCTCCTGCCTCAATTGAGGCTCCTGTAGCACCCTGTCTGGGTGGGATGGGGGCTTTGGGGTCCCCCCCCAGCTCTCACCGCTGATCTCCCCGGCAATTCGAGCCCGAACCCTAAGGCAGCACCTCGGGTCGGGAACCAAAATGCGACCAACCAAGCAGCCTCCTTCCAACAAGGAGGATTTTTCCTCCGCCGAGCACAAACATTTCAGGTCCCCAACTTTTCCCCCTCCCCACTCAGCCGGGCTCCGGCGTCTCCATCCCCACCTGCACCGCCGGGGACCACCGAAACCTCCAAAACCCATCCTGAGGGACACAGGCACGGTTTTAGGGCCCGATTTAAGGCCAGCAGGAATTTCACGAGCCCGAGGCCGGCTCCAGCATCCCCCCCAGCACATCCAAAGCCGGCGCTTCCCTCGCCGCGTCCCAAAAGCCGCCCGGGTGACCCCGGCTGTTAGGACGGGCACGGAGCCAGGGCACGGGGGCAACCCCACAGCCGCTGGCTTTTGGGGACACCAAGGCCGCCGGGCGCATCCCGAGGGATTTCCACCCCCCTTTCCTCCACCTCGAGGCCTGCTCGCCGCCCCCTCCCCAAAAAGCAAAGCACCGCCAGGCGAAAATAGGTCACCGCCACGCACCTCCGCGCCGCGTTCCTATTATCATCGCTATTCATGACTTTATTTATTTATTATTTAAAAAAAAAAAAAAACGCGTGCACGGAAACAGGGATTTTGCCAGGGTGTTGCAGTGAGGAGGGGGGGGGGGTGGGCAGCCCTGCAGCAGCTCCCCATGGGGTGAGGTTTGGGTTTAGGGGGGGTGGTGGGGGGACACCGCTGGGTGCCCCCCACCCGCAGCGGGGGCTCGGCAACATGAAGGAGTCATCCGGGAACCCAAAGGGCCGAAGGGAGCCCCGGGCCTCCCAGCGCCGCGCAGGATCCTCCGGCCTCAGAGGGCTCCCAAACTTTCCCAGTTCCCCCCCATTTTGCCCAGTACCCCCCCCACAGCCCCTCAATCCCAGCTCCCCCCCCCCCCCACCCTCCCCAAGCAGGGTGAGCGGCCTCCCCCCGGCCCATGGGTGCTGGGCCTCACCCCAGGGGGGGGGGGGGTGCAGCCTCCCTGCCTCCTTGCCCCCCCCCCCCTTCCAGGGCACCCCCATACATACGGGGTGCGATGTCGGGGTGGCCTTCATTAATTATTATCATTAATTACCCCACAATTAAAGCCAAACGCAGACCGCTTCCGCGCTGCACTCCACCGAGGGGGGGGGGGGGCCTCCATGCAGCAGCCTCCCCCCCCCCCAAATAAAAATTAAAACCCCCCAAATACGAGCTCCTCCAGCCCATTTTGGAAGGGTGCAATGGGGGTGAGATGCTCGCAGCCCCCCCTCACCCCATAACCCCCCCAAAAAGGGGGATGCAGCAGCCCCCAGCTCGCCCTTGGAGCCCCCCCCCCCCCAAGGGTTCCCCCTCCCCAAAAGCCTCCAGCGGGGCAAGTTGCGGGAGGGCCCCTGCGAAGTAACCGGGGGGGGGGTGGGAAGGAAAAGGGGGGGCTGGAAAAAAAATAATTAAAATAATAAAATAAAGGGGGGGGGGAAGGAAAGGGAGGGCGCAGGCTCTACCATTTTGATGCAAAGGTCTCCGCGCAAAGGAGTCCCGGTCCTCCTCCGCTTGCCTGGGGTTTGTGCTCTCCATGAAAAAAAAGGAGCTGGTGGGTTGGGTGGGTTGCTGGCTTGGTGGCTTTTTTTTTTTTTTTTTCTCCCCTTTTGCCTTTTTTTTTTTCCCCTTTGCCTTTTCTTCTTTGCCTCTCTTTTTTTTTTTCTTCGCCTTTTTTTTTTTTTTTGCCTTTTTTTCTTCGCTTTTTTTCCTACGCTTTTTTTTCCTTTTTTTCCTCTTTTTTTTTCTCTGCCTTTTTTCCCTGCTTTTTTTTTCCTTTTTCTTCTTTTTTTTCTTTTTTTTTTCCTTTTCCTTTTTTTTTTCCTTTTCTTTTTTTTTTTTTTTTGCTGCCTTTTTTTTATTTATTATTATTATTATTTTTTCTCTTCTTCCCCTTTCCGGAGGGAGGAGGGAATCACCGCGCTGCCAGCCCTGCTCGCATCCCCCTTCCCCTTATCCCCTTTTTTTTTTCGGCTTTTTTTTTTTTCTCCCCTCCGCCTTTTTTTTTTCTCGCCCTTTTTGCTCTCCCCCCTTTTCCTCTCCTCTTCCTCTCCTCCCTCGCTCCTTCACCTCATCCTGCCCATCGCCATGTTAGCCCCTTTTGGGAAGAACGGAGGAATGCGGAGCGGCGGCGGCTCCGGCTGCCAAGAGCCCTTGGGCCGCTGATTGGAGCCGCAGCATCAGCTGGGGCCGCCGCTGCCCCCCCTTAAAGGGACAGGCCCCGGCCTCTACTCACCCCCCCCCGGGACCCCCCCCTATTCCTGTCACCCCCTTCGACCCCTTAAGATCCTCCCCTGACCCCCCTTTTTCCCCCCCTACCCCCCGCGGGGGGACCCCACCGAGCAGCGCGAGCAGCGCGGAGGGGGAAACTGAGGCACCGTGGAGAGGTCTGGGCTTAAAAGATTTTAAGAAATATATATAAAAAAAGAGGGTTTGGGGTTGCAAAAGGGTGAGCTGGGGAGGTGTGGGGGGTCAGCAAGCTCGGTTTTGTTTAAAAAATAAAAAAAAAATAGGGGGAAATGGGGGAGTGGAGAGCTCTCCTGCCAGCGTGGAAATGCAACTGGGATCCTCTGGGTGCAGAGAGGGGTCCGGGGGGGTTTTATGGTGCTTTTGGGTTTTTAAGGTGCTTTTTAGGAGTGGGGTGTTGTGGGTGGAGAGTGCCATGCCCGGCATGTGGCCAAAGCAGGGTTTTGCTCTTTTGCCCCTAGACCTGTATGTGCCCCTCTACACCCCCATCCTGATCCCCCCACCCCACAACACCTCCACGGGGGCAGCAGAGGACCCCTGATCGTCCCCATATGAGCCTCCTCGGGGTGACCCCAAACCCCCTGAGCTGCCGTGCCTCCATCCCACGTCCCCGGGCCCCTTTCCCCGTCCCACCCCGCAGGCGGCAATGCCGTAACGTCTTGCACTTGTCTGGGCTCCTCTCGGGTTGCCGTGCGCCGTAACTTGTTCCAGATGTGTTCGGCTCCGCGCACAACGTCGCCGCCACGGCCACGTCCCGCCTGCGCTCGGCTTCCTGGGTTGATTTAGTTCATTTTTATTTTTTTGGTTTTAATTCCCCCCGTCTTGCTTTCGGCTCTACGGGATAAAAAATCCCAGCAGAGGCAAGCAGAGCATTTTCCCCCTGTCAGAAAGGTTTTGCTGGGATGAAAGCATGGCCTGGACGGCGTGTCCCCTATCCTGGCCGCGTCTCCAAAAGCTCCACCAGCTGCTGAGGGACACATGGTGGCCATACAAAGCCTTGGTGTAGTGCTGGTGGGCTCCTTACGGGGTCCCTGCCCTTTTGGGGGATGCCGAGCCCACCCCTCACCTGGGCTCCTCGCCTTTGCCACCCGTGGGTTTTCCTCCATGGTGTGGGAGAAGCTGTGCCCGTGGTGGCCATGGCCACCAACGCGAGGGGTTGGTCCTCCAGACGCCACCAGCGACACTTTGGGGTGAAAAACTGTCGTATGAGAGCAACGGTCCTAAAAGACGGAGCAGGCCTGGTTCCGTTGGTCAGCACCGCCCTACGTGGGGTTTGGTGGAACGACTTCCCAGCTCTGCCCACAGAGCCCAGCGGGGTGGTTTTATGGCATGGCAGAGCTGACTCCATCGGGTTTGGGGGCAATGTGGGACGGGGACTGTGAGGGGAAGGCCGTGGTTGTCCTCATGGTGTGTAGGTATCCTCTGAACCTGCTCACAGCTCTTCTTCTGCTCCTCGTCCTCAAGGCAGGAGACACCTCATGGTGGATTTAGGCAGACATGGGGCCCTGCACCATGCTTGGTCACTCTCCTGGGGGCTTTTTTCCCTCATGGTCACCCGCTGGGGTCTCTGAAGGGGTAGCTCCATGCTCGTGGTGCAGGTGTGGAGCCATCAGGGCCTCATGGGATCCTCACTGACCCTCAGAAAGGTAACGGGGCCGAGCACACCCTGGTGGGTGAGGAGCAGAGGCAGGAGGGTGCTGGAGACACCACAGCAGCCTTGGGTCCCAGCCCGTGAGGGGACATCTCCCACGGCTCCCGCTCTTCATTTTTCGCACTGGGCCATGAGATGGCAAGCAAGGGACCCCATAAGGTCGTCACGAATCTTAAACGAAGGCCCAGGGACAGCAACAGGGTGCAGGATGGAGGCCGGGAGGGGGGATGCGGGATGGAGGTGGGGGTGAATTGCTGGCTCAGCAGCCGGGTTCCACTCAGCAGCTGATTTTCTGGGCAGGCACCACACAGATTATGGAAAAGAAGGGATCAAATCAGGCCAAGAGAGAGAGAAGAAGAAAAAAAAATAATAATAATAAGGAAAGCAAGAACATTCCTGGAGGCTCTCTGGCCTCTCTCCCTGTAGCCTCCAGAGAGGAGGAGGAGGAGGAGGAGGAGGAGAGACGAAACAAAAGGCACGAGAGGAGAAGGAGCCGAGGAGGCGCTCGGGTGAGGATGGCGGGGCTCAAAGCGCTGCAGCAGGACGCGGCCGGAGGGGCTGGGAGGCCCCGGGGGTCGCGCCGCAAGCGCTGCCCTTTTATGGCCCCTTTATGGCCCTTTTATGGCCCTTTTATGGAGGACCGCAGCGCGGATCCTGCCCTACTAAGGGAAAACGTCGCCCGCTTAGGCGCTCGCAAGGAGAACACCCACAGCGCGCAGACAAACTCTCAGAGGACGGCTGAAATACGGCCGCTTCGCGTTGACCCCAATTCTTTCCCATTTTTTTTTTCCTGACTCCAAACTGGGTAAAAAAATAATAATAATAAAATTATTTAAGTGGTTGCAGGTGACAGAACAGCGCCGGATCAGGTTCGCCAAGGCTACCCGGGGCTGTGGTCCGAGGCGGGGAGGAGGTCGGCACCCAGCCCCAAAACGCTGTGGGGTTGGCCCCAAAAAGCTGTAGGGTTCACTCCGCTGAGTGCATCCCGCCTCAGCCTGATCCTCACATTTTATTTTCCTCTCTGGGGGTGAGGATCCCACCCCGAAGGCCTTTTCTCCTGGGTTAGTGGGGATGGGAAGGGGACTGCAGGCACCCTCCCGCACCCCATCGCTTCCCCCCGCAGGGAGCTGCTGCAGCCAGCCACAGCCAGGGCTCGGCTCCCAGAGGAGCTCTTATTGGATTGCAGGCCCTGTTTTCTACAAATTCTGTAATAATTAGGTTTGCTTTTTATACTGCCACGATGCCAGCATGAGGAAGTTTACTTAAAACCCTTGAAGGATGAGAAGACTGAAATATTCAAGGAGAAATTGCTCAGAGGAGGAAGGGGGAGGAACACCCCCCCTCCCCCCCCCCCCCCCGGACTTCCAGATTTCCTGAAAAACATTTAGCTTGTTTTACCCCTGGAAAAGTAATTGTGGAGTCACCGATTTGTTTTTTGTGCTGATTCAAGGTGCTGCTGAACACAGAGGGTTTCCCACCTTACTCCTTTTCCTCCGCTCCCTCTGCAGCTCTGGGGCAGCCCCAGGCCCGTTTTTTTTTTTTTTCCAGGTGGGTGACGCAAAAGTGCCACAAGGGGCAAAAATGGGACCCAGCGGGCATCCCTCTGCTTCTTGAGCTGCTCCTGCTTGTCCCTGGGGTGTTACAGCAGAGGGACAGAGCATCGCCGGTCTGGTATTTTGGGGAAAAAGGCTCTTTTTGAGCGTTGCTCAGCTGCAGGTTTACAGATCAAGGCCTCTGCTCTGAATGCATCGAGCCGAGCCGAGCTGTCCTCACTGCTGGTGTGTTGGAGGCTCTCTCTCCGTTAACAACTCGACTTGGCAGTTCTGACATTTTGGGGGAAGAAATATTTGTTTTCTCCCACCAGACCTGTCTCCAGCCAGTTTTGGCTACTACTTCCCTGCACGAACAACTCCTGCTGCATCCAGGGTGCTGGCCAAATGTGAATTCAGTAAAACTTTGCCTTTTTTTTTTCATGGAAATGTATGTGGATTCTATGCTCTAGGAGGGAAAACCACAGGATTTTATAAATATTTATTGTTTTTAATACCCTTGAGAAGACTTTGAAAGAAAACAAGTTGCCGCAGGACAAGATCGAAGGCCCCTTTATTGCTCAGCAGCTGATTAAAAGTCGGCAAGCAGAAGGCAGGGCTCGGTGGCCACTTTTCAGGATGGAGAAGGCTTGGCCAGCACCAAGTCTGGGGCTCTTCACCATCCTCATCAGCAACCCGGTGGGCGAGGAGCACAGCCACAGCTCATGCTCGCAGGGCAGCCCTCCTGGTGTCCCCAGATGCCACATGGATGGTGAGCAACCCCACAAAGACCTCAATAAATGAAAAAGCAGATGCAAAAATTTCAGATGAATTTTGGTACAGGAATGCATATGGTAAAGCATCAGGAGGAAAAAAGGCATCGTCTCCTCCTGGTGCTGTTGGAAGCAGACTATTGGGATGGATAAAACGATAGCCCAAACCAGAAGGGCATGTCTGGATGGAGAAGAAAACTATGAGGCTCTCCCAACTCACTGAATCATCCTGGCTGGAAAAGACCAAGATCACCACGTCCAGCCAGATGCAGGTGGATGACTTCTTACCCCACCTGGACCCCACCAAGTCCTACCGATGAGCCTGAGCCCTCATCCCACCCCTACCAAAACACACACAAAGCGGCTCCGGCACTGCGTGGAGCAGACTCAAGGACTAAACATCCACAAAGCTCGGAGATGCGCCCTGAATGTGACTTCCCATCCATCCATCACCCAGAAACCTGGCGAGGAAAATCACCTCCAGCACCGGGGTTGCTTGTCGAGGAGCCAGGTGTGAGAGCCGCGCGGGCAGCTCAAAGGCATCTTCACACCGCGAAGGACGAGAGGCGGCATTTCATTAGGCAGGAAGTTAGAAAGCGACACCTTGATTGAGATAATTAGCAAGATTAAGAGCTACAGGAAATACCCAGAGCTGCATTTATAAGTCAAGAGCACCTCCGGGGAGCCGGGAAAGCTTCGCCTCAGGTTGGAGCCTGTGCTGGGGAAGCGAAGGGCTGCAGGATGCTGCGTGCCAAAAATGAGCCCCGCCACGGCTGGGCTGCCTGCTGGCCCCTTCCAAGCACACTGGTCTCCAAGCACACTCTAATTTTTACCTATTTCTTAAGAACAGATCCTTATTTGTCCCTTAGATGGACATTTCTGCTCTCGGGACACCCCACGTGGTGCCCAAGGCCAGGCGGGATGGGGCTGCGGGCTCCTGGGCTGGTGGCAGGGGGCCTTGTGTATGGCTGGGGTCAGGGCTGGGAGGTTTTGGGGTTGGGGCTGGGGGGAATTTGGGGTCCCTTCCCACCCAAAGCACCCCAAGGTTATGGGACCTTGGTTAGAGAGCGCTTTTCAGGACTGCTGGGGGAATGCTGATGCTTGGCAGAGCAGCAAAGCAGGTACGTGCAAGGTGTGTTCATTTCTAAGTAGTTTCGGTCCCCTGTGGCTCAAATGGAATGGAATCCACGGGGAATTTTTCCATCGCATTAGGGCTATAAATTGGGAATGGGAAAGACGAGCTCGGCAGCCAGAAACCATCTCGTTCAGTAAATACACACAGAGAGAAACCGGGCACGAACAGGGAAAACCAGCGAGCGTCCCTCCTTGCTGACACTGGTGGCTGTAGGAGAGAGTCCCCCCGACAAACACTTCTGGGGTGAAGAAGAGGAACGTGAAGTACACAAATAGTTTCATATTAATGCTAAAAGAAGCAGCAAAAGCTGTCGGACTGCGCACAGACTCTCAGGTTTTCAAAGCTGAAGGTGCAGGGGGAACTGAGAGGCAGCGTCCAAACGCAACCAGCAGGCACCGGGCACCTCGGGGCGACGTTTCGTAAGCTCCAGCAGCCCCAGCTCAGGTCGGACAAGCTCAAGCCAGAGCCGAGTTTCAGCTCGTTGTTACGAAGTGGAATTAAGCCCCAGAGCAACTTATCAAAAACCCTGCCCGGATTTGGCACGGGGGAGTTAAAACCGAGGGGAGCGCCGCTCGCCAGGCCACGCTGCTGCCACTGGAGGGGTGGCAGGGACCCGGTGACGTGGAGCTGGAGGGAAACGTTGCTGGAGGAGTTATTTATGCTTCGCCATGAAACCGGAGAGATACACAGCCCTGGAGTCCCCGGGGAGCCGTCCCAGGCCTGGTACTGCTCAAAATATTTTTTTAATAATTACTTGCATGAATAGCGAATTCGCTTATTACAGCTGCAAACGATAGCGAGCCGGGAGGGACTTCCAGTACTTGGGAGGATGGGCTGGGGCTTCAAAACAAGCTTTGACACATTAGAGAAATGGCTTGGGAAAAAAAAAAAAAAAGAAAGAAAGAAAGAAAAAGAAAAAAAAATAGGCTGCAATTCAGTGGAAACAAAGGAAAAAGTTGGTGCTTGTGTAAGGCCAGGGCACAAATCTGCGGGAGCGGAGCGGGGCAGGGCTGGCGCAACGCTTCCCAAAAGGTCATTTTCTCTTCCTCTCCGACCTCGGGAAGTGGCGATGATGGGCTCCAGCAGCAGCTAAAGAGCTTCAGCCATCAGAAAATACGTTTATTTATTTATTTTTTTTAAACAGCAGTTCGAGGCAGTGCTGGTTTTGGTACTGCAGCTGCCAAACCTCAGCCCCGGCCCATTTTACAGAGGGGTTGGACGAGAACTTGCATGATTTACCCCAAAAAGGGGATTCTGCCTGGAGCAGCAGGAGACATCCCATGGCAGGAGAGGGCCCTGGGGGCTCGGGCACCTCTATTTCCAGCAGGATGTTTGTTCAATGCCATGTCTGGGGACGAAAAACACGAGTGGGATGCATGCAGCTTGCTGCAGGAGGTGTAGAGGAACCCTGTCACTCAGGCGGATCAAAACAAGCTGGATTTCATCATCAGGAGGCATGCTTGGTGCAGCTAAAGCTGGTTCTGGAGTTTTTATTTATTTGTACTTCTTGGCTTTGTTTCTCCCTTAGTTTAAGCAACTGCTTGCTACTTCTCCCCAAACCAGAGCTGAGCACGTTCCTGCTGTTACCAAAGTGCATGTTAGAGCAGGGAGAATGAATTTTGAATGATTTTTTTCCCCTGCCCTGTTATTTCTTTAGACGGTGGACACCATCATCAGGGGGTGCTGCATACCTCAAAGCACAAGGGGACAAAAGGGACAGAGAATGTACATGTGCTGTTGTCATACTGGTGCCCCAAAGCACACGTGCAGCTTTTGCAAAAGGTGAGTTTACCAAAAGGATCCCATTTTTTCCTGTTTTTTTTTTTCTTCTCCTGGTGTACCTGCAGCTCCATTATCACCAGACACATCCGGACCCTCGGCTCTTTCAGGCCACAGCCGGGGAGGAGGTGAAACTGATCTCAGCTGGTGTGGAGCACTGATTAAAAAAGCTTTAGTTCTACCAGGTAGGGCAGGTATTTCTGCCAGTCCCTTCCCAAAAGCGCAGGGTTATTTCTCCTGGAAGCAGCCCCTTACCTTCTCCCCTTCCCAAGGACCTTCCAAATCGTCCTCCAGCTCCCTGCTGGCCTCCACCAGGCTCTGGGGAGCATCCATGGGGGGTGATCCCTCTCCACTTCCACTTGTTTTCTTGAGCAGCGCCGTGCTCTTTCAAGGGCACACTCACGTCACAGCAAGCAGCAATTAATGCCAAATTAACGACGCCCCCCCCTCCCCCAAATCTTCGTGCCTCTGCTGCAATTGTGAAATATTGCTTCCATTAAAAGCAAACCAAAAAATAAATCCCAGGCTGGTTTCGTGCGTGCAGTCCCAGCGCGGAGGGCCAGGCAGACCTTATTAAATCCGTGGTCGGGTCCCTTTAATGGTTTAGGATTTTTAACAGTTTTGCCTTCCCGCAGTCGGGCTGCTGAAGCATTTCAAAACCAGCGAAAACCACGGCTGTTTCACAACCATATGAAAGAAAAAAAATATGTATTTATATGGATGTTAAGTAGGGGTGGAGCCTGCAGAGCTTTATCTCCTCGTGATTTAAATCCCAGGCAGCGTTGGGTTTGGAAATTACACCAGATGGATTGCAGAGTGCAGCTCAAGGTCATCTAAACACTGCGCTCAGCTCCCAACTGTAAGCGTGATCATCACGAACCACCAAAGCCATCAGGAGAAATTTAATACACCGCCAGATACTTGGTGAGCTTCAGAAAGAGCGCTTTAAATGCTTCTTCCCCTCGAGTGCAACGCCACAAATAACCCTTGTTTAAAAGCGACAGGGGAGCCGGAGTGAAGGCTCTCTGCGTGGAGATACGGTCAGAAAGCTGCATTTCGGCCGGGGCTCCGTAAATGCGTGCTTTGTGCAAGCCAATTCCTCATCTGATCGACACCCCTGCAGCCAGGCAGCTCGTTTAAGTCTTTTCTTCTTCTCGACAAGTTAGGAGGATTCCTCGTGCCTGCCCCGTGGAGCTACCCCAAAACAACACTCCGTTTGCTGGGCAGCGGCCAGCCTATTGCCAAAACAACCAGGACCACAGACCTGACCTTCCTGGCCGCATTTAAAACACTTGCCCCATGTTTCCCCTCCAAAAAACCCTTATATTCAAGAGCTAAGTGTAACGCACTGCAGGGATTAAGATTTTTTTTTTCTTTTTAACAGGAAAATGTCCCTAACAGGGAAGAAGCAGCAGGGTGTTTCTAACTTGTCAAGAATAAGAAAAGAATAAACGAGCTGCCTGATTGCAAGGTGGCCCCTCAGACTTTCCCTACCTCGAGTTCCCATTTTTACATCTTTTATTGCCATAGCTCACATCACCCCGGCGTTCCTGCACTCTCCCGTGTGGAATTTCTCATGCTGCCTCCCCAAAGCCGTGCTCCCACGTCTGGGAAATGCCAGGTCAGTCGGATCATGCTGAGGACTAAATTAAACAAGGAAACACCTCCGCTTGTCCTCACCCATCAGGAAATCCATTTTTTAAACCTCAGATCAAGGCAATTCATCTTCCCATTAGGACAGAGCTGGCATATCCAATGAAATCCAGTTTCCCTGGAACAGAAGGTCTGCAAGACTAATGGATTAGCGTGCTGAGCCATTACATCTGCTGACTTCAACCGACACCACATCTCCCATGTGCTACGGAAACGATGTGGGAATGTAAATTTGGGAAAGAATATTTAGCAAGGCAGTTAAATTCAGCACCTTCAGAGATTTCCGCCCAGCTCCGTTAAGTGTAACTGTTCACAAAGGGTAAGAAACTTCCATGTACCTTGAGGAAACGGCGAGACCTCAAATCACTTGGAAATTTCAAAATATTTGTTCCTCCGACGACTATTACGTAAACCTAGTGCAGAGTCTTTCAGAGGAATTGTTCTCTATCTAGGTCAGGAGAAGGAAAGCCAACTTGTAGTCTTGCAAGGGACAAGCAGCTACAGAAATTGAAGCGCATCTCTCATTTTCCTGTCCGTTTCCCTCGAGGAGCAATGGGTTTTTCCAGATTTAGAGAAAAGAGCCTTTGCAGATATGTACAAAAGTTTATTTTACAAACAGCAACTACTTTGGAATAACAAAATTGCAAAAACAGACCGACATTAGAAAACCAGCTCCGTGGTGCGTTTTCTATTTGAAGCACAATTTAACAGAACTCACCAAGTAAAAATATTCCCCCCCTTCCCTCGCATCCCTCCCCAGCCATCGACCAGATGGAACTTCTTTATAAAGCTTTAATTCAAGATATGAAATAGACATTGGTAACATTGCAGCGATTCTGGACAACTACAACTGATTGACAATATATCTATTTCATTACCTTTTCCTGGCCTTAAAAAAAAATCAACTTAGATCTGAAACATGACAAAATCAGGTTTTGGAGCAATTTAGTTTGAGGAAACGTTGAGTGACAACGCTTAAATTTGTATCTTTTGTTACACCATTAGCCCAGTAGTGCTATTTTCTCTGTAGGGGGAAAAACAAATTACTTAAAACTACGGAGCTGCGACAAACATTACCTTGAGTTAGCAAAGAAATATTTATTTGAGACTCTGAAATGGCTGCTACCGTTCAAAAAGAAATCTGCAAACATACTGATTTGAGTAATGCATTTGAACATTCAGTACATTTATAAGAACCTTACAAAATACTGATCTGAAAGGACTACGTGCAAGCAATTTTTCATTGAATTACAGGAGCAGGAGTTTAAGTTCGGGACTTTGGGTTCTCCTAAAAAGGGGGAAAACTGTATGACAGGTTCAGTTTTAGGAACCTGTGTAGAAATGTCTTATTCAGCCTGTCGTGTATAGACGTGCAGAGCATCATTACAGTCTTCAAATTTCACTTTGAGCTTTCTTTTCATGTTTCAGAAGTGTACCAAAAGCTAATTTGGAGCAGCTTAATTCAATAAAAAAAACAATATGAATTGATGTCTAAGCAAGAAATTACTACTTTTCATTTTCAAAGTTGTTGGGTCCTGATGAGATTAAAAAATCATTTTCAAGGTTTGAAAACAGTCAAGAAAACTAAAGCATCTCAAGGCATTACAGAAAGTCAGTAATGAAAGTAGTTATAATACAACAGTACTCATTAGCTCTAATAAAGCTACGTTAGTATGTTTTTGTTTTTACTACAGACCCTGCTCTTCAGGGTACGACGTTATGCCATTAAAAAACGGTCTCTTAGTATACAACTTTCTAAACACTGAAAAACTTTATAAATGATTTTAAATTGACTCAATCAGAATATTGCAAAAAAATTATGCTCTCCAGCTTTAAGTCTATGTTTTTTGCAAGCCGTTTACCTGTAACATGTAGTCATTTTTGGTATTAAACTTCGCTTGGAAAGTACTTTCCACACTTTATCAGGCATACCAGTATTTTCGTAGTCATTTCACTTTAATAAGATACAATTTGGGACCTGCACACTGATATTCCCTCTGGCAAATGGGACACATCTGCAGACATTTTATATAGGAACCATTATGGTTTATTTTCTCAAAAATTATCACTTAGGTTTTTAAGAAGTGTTCCGAACAAACTCATGATATCCTCAAGTTTACAACATTCAGCTTCAAAACGTGTTGAGGTACGCCAAGCGCTGCCGTAGGAATTTAAATGGGACCGCTCAGAAACACTTCTTTACCCTCTAAAGAACATTGCAACTGAACAGACACTTGGCTTTTAAATGCAAAAGTTTAGACAGGTTGGATTTTGAGATCAAAACTAATTCATCACACTTTCACTCGCTGCTTGTCAGTTTGACAACTCCTGTTGTGTGCAAGCTCACCCTTCTGAGCAGACTTCTCTAACACCACAGCACAGGAAGGATTAAGACATCGTGGCAGTCTTTGTTTTCATCAACTAGCTGCTGTGTATATGCTCTATATAACGCAACAGCCAAACAAGACAGCATGGAACCCACCTTCCAGCTCTAAAAAAACCCATTTTAATAAACTAGAAATGCCAGCCTTTGTAAGAAGTTCTTCACAGTTTTATAGTTGCTAACGTATTTAACAGTAACAGGCAGAAAGCCTTAAGGTGTTTATAAACATACGTGAAGACAGTACTGGTTGCTGCACCGAGAAAAGCGGTGTCAGCAAACTCACTAAGTGTCATTCATGGCTTGGAAAATCCGATTCGAGGAAATAAAACCTTTTTTTTGTTATGTTTTGTAAAAGTAGCATTTGACATAAAAAACAGTTGAGCTGAGCTTCAGTACTTCTCTCCTTAAGTATACAGTCAGTCAAGTGAGTTCACCAATAAATGGTAAAGCTTCAGCTAGCTCAGTAAACATCCTTCAACTTCACTTGTGACATCCTCAGAACAGTTCTGGTTTTAAACATAACACTGACAAACTTATTAAATACGGTTTCAATCGTCACAGAAAGATTTTCAGCTATACCCACTGCTTTCACTGGGACTTCGGTTGTTGGAGTAACTGCGATCACTCTCACTGTCAGAGCCATACGATCTACAAAGAAAAAATTAAATTCCTCAACATTTTATTTCGAGCTTTAAATTCAAAATTGCATCACGTCAAAAACTGAGACAGATGCACGAGACAAGAAGAAAACAGTCATGTATATAACAACTGAAACATACGTTAATGGACACTCAAAATTAAAGTAGTCATTAATTTTACGTGCTGAAAATCCTGTGCAGCTCAAGTCAAACTGTGATTGTAACTATAAGATTTCTTCCTTTCATCAAAAAAGCTAAGAATTCATCCAAAAAACAACTAAGTTTTTGTTAATGCTGACAGCTGACAAAGAAGTATATTCTAACAAAAGGAGCTTTATTTCTCAACCAAAATGATTTTGCAACTCCATGCCTTTACATATTGCAATTTGAAGTTCGAAGAAGGATCTGAGTAATTAGGCTCCATAACAACAACGGGAGTGTGTGCAGAAGGGAAGTAATACATTCAAATGTTCTGGCTTATCCAAACCAAAAGAATTCCAAGCTGAGCACCTGGCCAAGCATAAAGAAATGGTACAGATTGTTTCAGATAAGCCACAAAACATATTCAAATTATACAGAATGAACTTTAATTAGAAATTTTCTAGCCTCGTGCCTGTAAGGAAAGCTTTCTGAAGGGAGAGGCATATCCTAATCAAGCATTGTTTCTCTGATGCTTCCTGACATCCCAAAACAAGGATTTTGTAATGACTTCCACACTTTTCATTAATCTAATTAATTGCCCTTCATACACATGAAGAAGCTGTCTTACTGTCACAATCTGATGAGGAAACTGGTGACACCAGAGTCCATTAAGAGGTGATACTAAGTCATGAAAAAACGAGTATGAAAATTTACAGCAGCCAGCTATCTGTCTGACTTACCACTGAAGTTTATGCACTATATAAAGATCACATTCCACTTCTGATCTCTGCTGAAGTGTGCTCACTTGCACCTCTGGTAATTCCCCTTGACTGAGTAGGATAATTTTGCACTATTATAAATTTTAAGCTAACAGTGACATCAGAAGCACACCAGATTTGCTGGTAAGATATTCTTTCAAAACATGTTCTAGGAAGTTAAAAATTAATTCTGGATAGCGCTGTAATTTTTCACTTCCTCTGCAGATGCTTTTTGGCTAGACTGCAAAAGTGGTTTAAAAAAAAAAAAAAAAAAAAGTGTTCACCATCCAATGGAATTCTTTGCATACCAGGTAGCTTTTGATTTGTAACAGGGCACCTGATTTAAATCTTGAGAGCTAGTTCACTGCAGGAGTTTAAAAACCACTTAAAGGCAGCGTTATTAAAAAATTATGTGCTTACTTTGAACATATAGGGATTTATATATGCAATATATTTTTATGGTTGGGGAAAAAGACCATAGCCTTCATGAACTTAAGTACGTACTTTGCAAATTCTTTTGCATTAATATGGTATGAGAGACATGCAAGCAAGTAACATACCTGGATCGCCTATCGTAACTTCTAGATCTCCGATAGCTGTCACTCCTTTTACTTCTACTTCGGCTTCTGCTATAGTAACTATCATACGTGTATGACCTACTTTAAAGGGAAAATAAAGTCTTTGTAGATTTACAGTTCCGCATCTAAAATGTCATTTATTTCAAATGCACAACACTTAAATGCAAAGAGATGAATCACTATAAAGAATTTACTCTTGAAGGATGTGGAAAACAGGATAATTCTAAGTTTTTGTAGATGTTTAAATACCAGAATTCAGCATCATCAAAACAACATTAAATTTATTAATATACAAGAGACTAAGCATTTAAAAAGTTTTGAGTTTTCGCTACAAATGGTACATGAAATAAAAACTTGTTTTCAGAAGTATTAACAAACAACAAAATTATTCCAGTTTATATTTCATTTTTATATTCCATTTAGCAATAAAGGGAAACGTGTTCACCATACTATCACCTATCACTGTAACACCAGTATGACTTGGTTATTTTCCAAGCGTCTCATTTATATTATTCTTGCTTTGTTTGCTCTCAAAGCTGCTAACACGACAGTACATTTCTGAATAGCACAGATGCAGAGGTACTTTTTACACTAAGATATTTTTATAGCAAGTACATTTATTTCAGAGTTGGTACAGAACTACAATCCATACCTGGATCGGCTGTGATGACCATAGGAACTACTTCTTGATCTGCTTCTACTATAGGTTCGACTGACAAACAAAAACAAAATGCTTTGTGTTAAGTTAATCAAGAACAAGTGCTGAACAGGGAAGAGGGGGAAAGAGGATAGGAACATGATTTTCTCAGAATTCCTTACTCACACTGTAAAACATGAAATACAATTCCTTTTTCAGTAACAGGATATTTCAAAATCTGATTGTTTTAACTTGCATGTTTCAAGCAGATGCTTCAGGCAGCAGCATGCACAGCTAAGCCCATTTCCAATTTGCTCAGAGACTGAAGCATCAGAGTTCTGGGCACCGTTTACCGGTTTGGTAACGCACCTCAAAATTAACAATTAGAGAAACTTACCTACGACTCTTGTAACTGTGGTAGGAACTACTTCGACTTCTTGACCGATCTCTACTATACCAGCCTCTGCTTCGGCTTCTTGTATAGCTTCTCGACCTACAATCAAGAAACAGTTTTTGAAAAGCACAAAACAGAGTAACTCAAGTGAAGAGCACAAGAACACAGGAAGCAAAAGCATTTTAAAGCTTCATCCTTTTAGCTGAGTATTTATCCCGTATGTGCTAAAATATACAGTGCTGTTTAGAAGAAAAACAAGCTGAGAAAGAGAAACATGCCTTGAGAATATTGTGAACTTTCAAGTTAAAAAAAAGAACAGGAACGTGAATGCCTCACCTATACGAATACGTAGAACTTCGGGATCTACTTCTGGAGTGGCTGTAAGATAGTGATCTTGTTCGGTGTCTGGATTTAGATTCGGATTTACTTCGTGACCTACTGAGACTCCTGGATGGGCTGTTGTCATCCCTACTTGGGGACTCTTCCTCACTGGAACTTTCTTGGTTCCTTGGCCTTCGATTTAGCCGTGCTGTTTTCCTAACTTCATCAAACAGAGATCCAGGCCTTACTTTATTTTTAGCTTTTATTTCAATCCTTAAACCTGCTGGTTTAGGCTCTGGTGCTGAAGCTACGTTCTTTACTTCTGTG